ACACACACACATATATTGTTTTTTCCCCATCCTCTCTGTCTGACCCTAATTTTCATTACAGAAAACACCTTTACTAATCTCACAGAGCTCATTTCTTCCATTTCCTTCAAACCAGAGACTTTGTCAAATACATACCCTCATTTTCTTAATCATCCACCAGGGTCACTGCTGATTGACTCCTTGCTCACTCAGGAATCTGCTCAGAGACACTCTGTTTCCGTGATATCTAGCCTCATTGTTTCTCCTGATAGTGCTCGGATGGCTCATCCTAAGCGGACCAGGGAGGAGGAAATAGGGGTACTGATACCAGATAGACAGTGAACCCTAATTTTTCATCCTCCATATATTTCATGGTTTATTTCAATGTGAGTATTCTTTTTAAAGTACACTACACAAATGCTTGGCTTGCGAAAATTTATCCAACCGCCAGCGACAGTTGCAATAGATGCCAACAGTCTTCAACCAACCATACTCACATGTTTTGGTCCTGTCCAAGCCTCTCTAATTTTTGGAGCCAAATATTTGACACTCTTGCTACAGTGCTGAATGTAGAACTTAGCCTTGACCCCTCCTCAGCTCAATTTGGTATCCCCCCACTTAAACTGACTAATATCCCATCTATAAAGTGTAGTGTACTTTCCTTTACAGCCCTATTACCCAGGTGTCTCAATCGACTCATAACAGCTGGCTCAGGGAAGTTTTGACTCACATCAAACTTGAAAAAATTAGATACTCTCTTGCAGGTTCTTGCAAGACATTTAATAAGATCTGGCAACCCTTCTTAGAATATTTAGACAAAACAATTATCTATTCAGAAAGTGATTAGATGCCCCCCAGGTTGCTTACTTTCTTATTTTATGCAGGGTTATTTTTGTTGTCTTGTTAAGAAGGGAGGGGGTACAGCATAATTTAGGCTCTGTAGATATCATCACAAGTTCTGCTAGTTGTTTAGGTTGTTATTGATGTCAACGGATTTCTAGTATTGCAAATATCCCACTGCCTGTTAATCCAAGGACACCAATATGTTCTGTATGTAAATAAAGAAAAAAAAGAATCTTGCCTCTGCATTTTAACAAAACATGTGATATGCTAAATGAGGCAGGTTTTCACAGCATGCCCTTCTTTCCACGTCTCAATATTTATAAGCTATCTCGTGTTTGTGTGGCTCATAAAACACTGTATGCCACAGTGCGGTGCCATTATGTGTGACTGCACGCAGAGAGCAACACCTCGGAGCAATAACTGACACTGCCAGATCAATTTAGCGCAGTGCTCCCTCCGATCCCTCTGCAATCACTCCTCACCTCCGCTGTACTTTTTTCAGCCACAATCTCAACCCTGAGACTTGGAGGAAGATTCAGCTCCCCCTTACTTTTTGGTTGCGCAGGTTTTATTAATACACTCTCTTGGGAACTGGCAAAACTCATCCGCACTTGTCTGTGTCTAAATTTTTCATTGTGAGCTACATATAATCTTAAAGCACAAATATCTAAAATCAGACAGCCTCGGGAGGATTCAGTAGTAGATGCAATCTAGTGTCGTCCATGGCTGTTCTCTATGAAATATAGATGCCCTGATACTGTTCTATTTTTACCAGCAGCACTGGATCGGTGCTGGCAGAAGAAGATCACAGTGTGACGAGGGATTGCGGGATGGCATGGGGAAAAGGAAGGGGGAGGCAGTGGGGGCACTATACATATGTCCTGTTTCTATAGCAACTGTTGGCCGGGGGCTTGAGTTTCTGACAACTGTCTTTTAACTACCTTCAAACAAGCCAGCTGTTGGACAGCGAGTGTCGTGTGATGAAGTTGCGTACGTCAGCAAGTAAAGAGCTGTTGGGAGCTAGATGAGGCTCCGCTCTGCAGGGATCGATTGAGTTTCCTTTGATACAGCATTCTCTGCTTATCAGAGACATCAGCATTGCCATCTGTGTTCAGGCTCCAGGAAGCAGCTACGCCAAACTTTTACAACTTCAAAAGAAATAGATTCTAAAATCATCATTTTACAAGGAGACGAATGTCATACTGTCTGTATATACCTCGATGTGCTTCTTGCTTTTCCTATCTTCCTACATAGATTGTGCTCTCTGGTGTGGACTTCGCTTCACTGTAAATCATTGCCTTAGATCAGGGTTGTCAAACATGTGACCTGTGGACCAAAACCTGCCCACCAAAGAGACAAATTTGGTCAACTGGTCAATTGCAAATACACTCCGGATAGGCCGCCCATCCATCATGGGGAAAATACAGTGAGACAAAAAAAATCACTGCCCTAAAGCCAATTTAAAATTACAGATTAATCTAGCATGTATGTCTTTGCAAAAAACCAAAATAAAACATGCAGGAACAAGGAGAATATGAGCATATAGAAAGGCACCAGCTGGCCAGTAGCTTTACTAACACGAGATAACAAGATTACGGGAATGTAAAGGTATTCCATAGAGTTTTGCTGGTCTGGCCCACTTGATATGACATCTCTGCTTAGACATTTGGCTGTCTGCCTGTAAATGTGCCAACCTATCATAGCCCCTGGCTTTGCCCCTCAAAACTTGGATATTAAGCTTTCTTTCTGTCTTTTTGAGACTCTTTTTTTTGTTAACTTGTCTATCTCTAAGTCCTGGTTCCTGAAGATTTTTTAACATACTCATAAAATCTTTCCATTATGTGGCTTCACTTCACGCACCAGAGCAGTTCGCTTAACAATAACACACAAATATGAAGAGATTAAACACATAATACAGAGACACAACTGCTACAAAGCAGCAGTGCAAGTGTGTGTGAGAAGAAAAACAATGTAGTATAGTATTAGAAGCGCTACTTGAATGTGCGTACACTTTAAGTGCTTTGGTCAGTAAAGACCAGTTTAGCTAATTTAAGAATAAGACGTGTCTAAGAGATTTTACACCCTGCTCTTTGAGCTGTAGTCCTGGTAAGGGTTAAGTGTCTGAAAGAAAGTGAAGAAATAATTTCTAATTCAAATGTAAGTTTTGAATTTGTACAAATTTAATACATACAAATAGATACCCCATTTTAGGGTCATATATAACAATACAATTGATGTGAAATTGTTTGGAGCAAAAAGGAAAAAGAAAAGCTGGAATAAAATTCACTCCACACAGAGAGGTCTCCATCCCTGGAAGGAATCCAATTTTTACAGATGATTAATCAGTAAATGAAGATTTCATACCGGGCATTTGCCCGGTGGGCCGATGGTGGTTTTTCATTTTTATGGGCCAATGTTTGTTTGTTTTTTTGTTTGTTTGTTTGTTTGTTGCAACAGTATAAACAATGAAAGGTGGTGCATTGGCCAGATGCTGGCAGATGTGTAAAATTAACTCAGTTGTTTGGTGCTGGCTATGGCGGAGCTTCCACAGAGGCCAGCAGGTGGATGAGGGAAAGGGGAGGCAGGAGGAGGAGAGACCCGAGGCGGCCGCCAGTCCGAGTGTCAGGTGAACTGAACTTCAGGTAAGAAGTTATGACCTGCAGTCTATCTGGGTCAGATATAAACCAAGTTAAGGTGGAGTTTATTTTCGTTGTGCTGACTTTTTACGGTCGGTTACAATCACTAGCTAGCATGACGGAGTTTATATTACTGCTGGGTGGGTGCTATGATGTTACTGATAGTAAACTTTATTTTGTTCATAAGTTTAGTTAGTAGAGTTGCCAATGGTCCCGTAAAAAACGGAATCGTCCCGTATTCAGAGAAAATATTACGCGTTTCGTATTGAGTTGAAAAGGAACACAGTTTGTCCCGGACTTCAGCTAGAATGAAAAATACACAAAGCTGCAGTTATTCTGTCTTTACGCTGCCAGCTGCCTCTTCTTCTCTCATTCTCTCCCCTCCCTCTGCTGTTGCTACTTCAATCATGAAACTGATCAATAATCAGCTGATCTGCTTTTCTCTCTTGCTTGTTTATCGCCCACTTTGCGCCAGAAAGAGGAAATCAGCGGATATCACGCTAAACAACGGCAGCACGTTAAAGCTTGATCAGCTGTTATTAGAATTTATTTAATATTAATTTCTAGTATCAGCTGATGCTGGAGCCACAGCTGTAAAAGCTGCTGGTCATGATATCGGTTTGAATGTCTGACGAGAGGGAAACATGAAGATGAAACCAGGAGATGTCCTTACTGAATCATCAGAGCTGTGATGGAGAAACAGGTTGACCTTTTAGGTGACATGAATGACTTGAAGGGAAGTTATGAACTGTTTCTGAGAGACAAATAACACCAGGATCCTTTTCTACATAGCTGACAGCTGGTAACTGTGCAGGGGCGGGTCTAGCAAAGTTTTGCCAGGGGGCCAGGTAGGGCATTAACAGGGAAAGGGGGGGTACAAAGAAATACTTTTTTTTCTTATTCTCATTTAAAATGTATAGCTTTTATTAAATAATTATCTGAATCTTACAACCAAAGTTTTTAACTCATGTAAAATGCATAGAAATCATACATATACCAACAAGACAGTGTACATCACTGTCACAACCACTGTCACAACAGCGTTTGTTTTCATTCAAAGGCTTTATGGCTTTTCCTGTAATACCTGGTGGGCTGCTCTCTAGTCAAAATGCCCAGGCTGATTTTTTTTTGTCCTAGTTCAGCCCTGGGCACGACACGCAGTGAATTAATCTAAGATCACATTAACATGTGTATCTCTGTATTAACAAACATGCCATATTGGCCCAGTTTCTTGTTCTTATCATTGTTGTGAGGAGACCATAAATAGCATTTGCTCATTTGTTCTAAAGCTAGGTTTCATGTCATGTCCTTTTAAACAGAATTTTGGGAAGAATTATTTATGCAAGATGGAGACAAAGAGATTAGGAAACTGATTTTTTTTACTGATGTTCATGTCTTTAAAAAGCAACACCTATCCAAGGTGTACCTCGCTTCTCTTACTTTGATAAGTTTGATGAGCAGCTAACAAGGTATCAACTATAATGAACGACTGAGTGACAGTAATAAAAAGGTGAAGTTGTGGTTATCCTGAGCCTGAAGGAGTTTTGAATGCTTTTTAATTAAACACAGTGGAAATGGCGTGGAAACGTAAAACGCAAAGGCCACGAAATGGTCCCAGGTAGCCCCAGGGGTTAATATTATTCCCTGTGCAGTTTTTCACCCCTTTGATTGTACGCTGTGAAATAAACAAACGTACACAAACAATTGCACAGGTTACTGTCATCATCTGAGGATAATTGAAATGTGTGGCTGGCATGTTTCCTCTCCGTCCCTTCTAGCAGGGCTAATTAGGGCTCCACTGCCAGGAGAACAGTGCACACACTGAGCAGACATCTGATGGCTTTGATCCACACATACACGCCAGCTGTTGCACCAGTTCAACCACCCAACCACCTTGGAGATGCTCTGCACTTCTCTTTCTGTTGCTTTTCATTTAATTCATCTATTACGAATTATGAAAACCATTATTTAGTGGGATGTAGCTGCATGGGGATGGATGGTTACACACAGTCACAATGAAGCTCTAATTATAGTTTTCCTTTTGGCAAGACTTTTGTTGATTATATTTGGAGGCAGTCATAGGTAGTAATAGTTAATTTCCCATGTGACAAATTCAAGCATAAACCACATAAAACAATATTAAGTCTTAAGGCACATTTGTTCAAAACTGAAATGTAAAAATAATTATAATCCTAAATTAAGCTTTTGGAAATTTTTATGTAATTGACAATGAATTTGTTGATTTGCTGGTTGTCTTCTTAAACCCCAATTGCTACTTTTTTGTCCTTGTAAACCAGGTTTTGGATGCTTTTAAGTCTTTTTATAATATTTTGACACCAACTACCATTTTTGTGTCCTTTTAAACAAGGAGAATTTTTTAAATTATTTTTATAAAAATATATTTTGTTACAGGTATATTTTTTGCTTTTTTAAACCAAATCTTAGATTTTTTTTTAAAATAATTTTTTCAGATCTATGAGGCTTTACTTATTTTTATATCCTGAATCTCTACAAATTGAGTTTTTTTTTTTAAAATCCAAAAGCATATATTTTTTTCCCATCATTTTCAATGGCAAATAACTGCCCTCATCATCTTCAAAGCTAAAAAAAATCTGTTATTTTAGATTTTCTCCTAACGTCTTCCTTTGTATTTTCTCTATATTCCCCCAGCCCTTCTTTATGCCACCATTTTTGGTAACGTGACAACGATTTTTCAGCAGATGTACGCCAACACAAATCGTTATCACGAGATGCTCAACAGTGTCCGGGACTTCCTGAAGCTCTACCAAGTTCCCAAGGGCTTAAGTGAAAGAGTAATGGACTACATTGCCTCCACCTGGTCCATGTCACGGGGCATAGACACTGAAAAGGTATGTCAATCTGCGCTCACTGGCTATTTATTTTTTGTTTCAAATTAACAGATGACGTTTTTTTGTTCTTGGTTGAAATGCTGAAATTTTAAATAATCTGCAAATAGCATATAGATGTTAAAAGCATAGGAGCACAGGGTAAATTATATACTGTAAATAACCTGTGTGTGTGTATGTATGTATATGTATATGTGTGTATATATATATATATATATATATATATATAGGTAAAATTTATGAGCTTGCTAAAAAGAGACACTGCTGTGGTGCTCATTCACCCATCCTCCTGAATTAAAATGATGCTAAAACGATCTGAGTGTGTTCAAATTAAGCATTAAAATCTGGAAGCGGAGACACTGAAATAGTGCCACTCTGGTTAATCACGAGCCAAAAAGCATTCATATCACTGCATCCCATTTAAATCCACTTATTATATCATTTCACCTCCAATTAGGCTCATAACTACAATGACACAGGGATTTTATTACAGGGAACACCACCTCAGTGATTCAACTTTAATGATTCTTATGCTCACTTATTTTGTTGTTCCTATGTTGAGGTTGAACTGCATGTATGGATCATCTTCTTCCTGCTCCTTTTTGAACATGAACTTTATTTGGAGTTGTGGTTGCTCGTTTTCCTTTTGTTTTGCTTTGTTCATTTGTCTCTTTTAATTCTATTTTGTTGTACTTTTTCAACATGTTCAAAATAAAGATTCAATCAATCAATCAATCAATCTATTTGTCTAGCTGAAGGCCTCACTAAAGGGTCTAAAAATGGCACATAATCCCTTTCTGCTTGACATTCATCTTCAAAGAGATGTGTTTTAAAGGCAGAACCCTGCAATGGCCTGGCATCCTGTTGATTAGCTGTGCTTGGAATGACATGCTGCCACTCAGTGACACTCAGCAGAG